CTACCGGCGAAAATGCTTGCGCAGCAATGATCGGGACTTGAATGCACGTGCCCACTCCAATGCCAAAGACGATTTGATAGCCAATGTACTTTCCTGGCGAAGCATCCAAGCCGAGCGTGTAAAGAAGACCGGCACCCACTGTGAGGAAGGCGGCTCCGACCGTCAGGGGTATTTGGAAGTACTTGATGTATCGGATACCGTAACTGCTGACCAAAGTCGCAATCGCTGTTCGACGTCAGTGGACGTTCAAATTTTGGGTCGACTGCTTTACATGAAGAGAGAATGAGCGGGAGGTTGCGAATGCCGCTCATGGCTGGCGAGGCTCCGTCGATGGCCTGGAAGTAGATTGGTAAGTAGTAAATCATTAGGAAATTGGCCGTGTTCATGCTAAAAGACGTCAGCAGAAAGTCCCACGGTTCTCAAACAGCACTCTACCCACAAGAATATGAATAGGCTGCACACGAGAACAACCCGAGAGCGCAGGATTCGAGGAATCACGAGCGACCTCTCTTTCTGCCACCATTCAAGGATGGCGAACACGATCGTCAGGATAATCCATCCAACGAGGGTGCCGATGACGTCCCTGGAATTCCATGATTTGCTAATACCGCCCCATTGAAGGGCGAGTATGTAGCAAATCAGACCGGTTAGGATGGCCGTGGTGCCAGCCGGGTCCATTTGAAGCAAGACTTCCTTCCATGTCACATGAGCCAGCTTTGCGGTACTTGGAGTACGGAAAAAGAGCAGTAGAAGAACAAGAGCACAGCCGCCAATGGGAAGATTGATGTAAAAGCTTTTACGATGTCAGTCAACGCAGCGACAAACGGACAAGGTGACGTACCACCAACGCCAGGAGACTTTGTCGGCAAAAGCGCCGCCCAGAAGTGGCCCAGCAACGCTGGCCAAGCTGAACACTGCACCAATGAGACCAACGTACGCAGGTGTCTTTTCGGGAGGTGAAGAGTAGGCAATAATGATGTAACAGCCTCCAGTGATACCAGCGCCGCCAACACCAGTAAGGGCGCGACCGACGATGAGGACAGTGCTGTTGGGGGCAGCTCCTGAACGCTTGTAAGCCGATTGTCCCCAGCAACTTTGTTGCAAATACTTACCGCACATCACGCTGCCCGCCTCGAAAGGTATGACAGCCGTAACGAACGTAAGTTTCAGGGGAAGATACTTGTAAGCCTTGCCCCATGACGACTGAAATACGGCCAACGTCAGGAAAAATGCGGAGCCGTACCACCCAACATGATCGAGGCGACGAAAGTCATCCGTGATTTTTGGGATCGCTGTAGCCACAATAGTCTTTGCGGGACCGGTCAGCCAGGAGCAAACAAAAAAGAATTTTTTCCTCGGTGTTGAGGCTGGATAGAAGGTACCATGTCTAGGGCAACCTGTGGGCAGGCGTCAGCGAGGCTTGGAATACGGTGTGCTTATGCCACTCACGAGGAACATGCTCAGCAGCAAAGCGCAGAGGATCATCGCCAGAGAAAATCCATTTGGATAGCTCTGCGTTTCGAGGCTGAGAGCTGGATTCTCATTCTTTTCCAGTGGACTGATCGCTTCGTCGATCGGGGTCGATACCGGCACTTCTGGCGCATCGAATCTTGGGTCCGCGTCATCATGCACTGGCTTGATGGAATAGTCCGAACCTTTGGCAGACACAGTCGCGGACATGGTGGTCGACGGAGAAATTTTTATTTACTTGACAAGGTGATTGAGAGCGTTGGTCGCAACAGTCGACTGGAACTCACGATCGAAGTCCTCCATCTTTGTATCTGCGATCAAAGGTAGGAGGCAGCTCTGGGCGGTCTTCGCTTTGGCCCGAATGTTCTTTCTGTGCGACGGATTCTGTCAGCTCCCGACGAGCTTCGCTCTGGACCGGTGCATTCCCCAGCCACGTTCCAAGAGGGTCAAATCGGTCGATCGATAGGACTTGGCTCGACACACAAAGGACACTTGCATGTTGTGAGTTGCCACCGCCACCAGCAACAATGCAAGTAGCCGAAACAAAGGGGAGAAGGGCAGAGTTGCCTGGACAGAATAAAAAAAGCAAACCAAAATGAAGCGGGAGATGTGCATTGACTTAGCCAGTCTGTTGGCGATCTAGAATTCTGGCAAGTGGCAATTAGAGTAATGACTGGGTCCGAGGCGGAGTGGGACTGCGTATTGCGCGAGAATTGAGAAATTTTGCAGAGAGAGGCCCTCGCCCTTGGCCGGGACAAAAATATCGAATCCTTTGAAGCTTGGAACTAGTCCTACATGCCACTATCCCCTCCGCCTACTCGCCAAAGGGAGGAAATGGAAGCCATTACGCTGGAGAAGAACTCCATCCTTCCCGCTTTCACAGCGATGATCACGAAAAGCTAGCAGAGGCTTATGCAAGTAGTCAATGGCCAAAGTCCATCCGAGATTTCCAATAGAAGACACTGAAACAATTTAATATCCACTAAAGTGGCTTCGGAGATGACCACTGATCGAACTGAAAACCCTCTGACTCTTGACATTCGGCGTTCGACAATATGAACGCCATTTGGCTAGAGGCTGCGACGACATAGCCACTCAGGTCTCGAGTCCAAAGAAGCTTAGCTGAGATCTTGCAAACCAACACGAGAGATCTGTTGGTATGGCTTCGTGGATGACCTGACGGGGATGGCAAAAACTCGATTCTGGCGGTTGTCATGGGGCCAGGGGCGAAATCGATCCAAATCGACATCCATAAAGACACTGGCTTAAATATGTGTAAGAGCAATGTGGTAAGTGTATCGGAAACTCCGCGGCGTTCGTTGGAACTGAGCGAGGGCAAATTTGTCTTTCATTCCGACCATGATGCGCACCGCCCAATTGTCTTGGGTATCTTTTGCATTGTTCCTGCTCAACCTCCCGTTTTCTGTCGGGATACCGTCCAAGGACTCAAAGCCATCATGTCGCTGCATGCCGGGAGACGTCTGCTGGCCCAACGTGAGAGACTGGGCGGAACTCAACAAGACTGTCGGCGGAAGATTGGTCTCCAATATTCCTCTCGCACATGTCTGTCACGATCCATCTTACAACAAGGAGGACTGCGATTATTTGAAACAGCAATGGGCGTTCCCGATCATACAGTATGGAGACTATCCCTGATCGAAGAAAGTCGGCTGACCTATCCAAGCGAGACTTCGAGCACGAGTGTCATGATGCCATGGTTCCAGAACGCGAGCTGTGATCCATTCACACCTCGAGAGCAACAATGCGAGTTGGGAAATTATCCCGTCTATTCGATTGATGTCTCTTCTGCAGACGACATTGCAGCTGGCGTCAAATTTGCACAAATGAAGAATATCCGCTTCGTTGTAAAGAACACCGGCCATGAGTATGGATAGTTCAAGACATCTGCATTTCGTGAGCTGATATTTTCCAGTTTCCTGGGGAAAAGTGCGGGAAAGGGCGCCCTCAGCCTGTGGACTTCAAACATGAAGTCGATCGCGGGGATCAAAAACTTCAAGAGCAGTTACTACAGTGGACCTGCCGTGAAGATGGCTGCTGGTGTTCGTGGAGCAGATGTGTATCCAGTGGCCAAGGCTAATGGACTTGTTGTGGTTGGCGGAAGTTGTCCTTCGGTCGGACTTGTTGGTGGATTCACCCAAGGCGGTGGCCACAGTATTTTGACCAGCAGCTTCGGTATGGGGGCGGACCAAGTCTTGGAATGGGAGGTCGTCACTGCTGATGGAAGACGCGTTACTGCAACACCAAAAGAGAACAGCGACCTATACTGGGCTCTCAGCGGCGGAAGTCCCGGCGCTTTCGGAGTCGTTGTCTCCACGACAGTTCGCGCCTACAAGGATCGCAGATTCGGTGGTGCTGCCTTGAGTTTCACCTCTTCGGGAATCACAAACGACACGTTCTGGAAGGCTTTCAGCTCATGGCAAGCCCAAGTCCCGGCGATAGTCGACTCAGGGGCCAGTGCCGCTTACGTGCTATCCGCCAACTTGTTCCTGATTCAGCCCTTGACCTATCCGGGTGCTACGGAGGCCCAGACCCGTAATCTACTCAAGCCATTCACGGATACCTTGGATCGACTGAAGGTCGTTTATTCGCTCAACGTCACTTCTTACTCCAACTTTCTAGATCATTACTCTTTGTACCTTGGCCCCCTCCCGGGAGGAGCGTATCCAGTCGATCGTCTGATGGGCGGACGCCTGATTCCTCGTGAGGCTGTCACAAAAAACAATCAAGGAGTTGTCGAAGCCTTGCGGTTCCTCGCAGAAAACACGAACGCCTACCTCGGCTTCTCGGCGATCAAGTCAAACGCCAACATGGCTGTCGCCGCAAACGCCGTACTCCCGCAGTGGCGTTCGTCCGTCATCACTTCTCTTTTGCAAACGCAGTGGAACTTTTCTGCCCCGCACGAAGCCAATGTCGCACAGCTGAACGAACTCAACGACATCGTGGTGCCGAAAATGACGGAAGTGACTCCAGGTTCCGGCACATATCTCAATGAGGCCAACTTTGCTCTGAAGACATGGAAAAAGGACTTTTACGGTGTCAACTACGACAGACTACTGCGAATCAAGAAGAAGTGGGACACCAAAGGTCTGTTTTATGGTCCAACGATGGTCGGAAACGACGCTTGGGTAGTCTCGGGCGATGGAAGACTTTGTCGGTCGTGAACCTTCTCTACATGTATTTTTGGAGTTCAGTAGTTGTCTCTGTCGCTCCTTTCTGTTCGTAGACTCGCATGGATTACGCCGCCAGGCTCTGTTGCCTTTTCTTTGTCTATCGGAACCAACATTGCAGGCGTGCAAACACTTGCACAAAGACTACAATCATGATCAGCAACTCATGAGCCGCGTACGCAACTTTTTGACCATTCAGCCAATGATGGGGGAGCTCGGTTATGGCCTGGTCCGTTCGTGGTCTGTGCATTGTGCAAAAAAATCTCAACACCGAGGCCCCCGAACTTCCACCTCACACCACAACACCACCCGCCAAAACAAAAAGACACTCGTCAGGAATTGAGCCCAACGCGGGGATCGAACCCGCAGCCTTGAGATGTACTCGATTACAGCATCTTGAAGAGCTAGTAACTAAGAGTCTCACGCTCTACCGATTGAGCTAGCCAGGCAGCTTGTTGATGAGAGATGGACAACATTTGACAGTTATAAATGCAACAAATAGATGTTCAATTGGCTGCCTGAGATCTTTGTACAATTTCACAGCTCCCTGGTAGTCCATTCAGTCTTGCGGAACACAACATCTGACCGGGGCACACTGCCGCAAAGACACCGAGAGCTCACCAAGCAAACTCTCCACCCTCGATGGTCGGGAAGTGTCCAGAAGTCTTCTCCTTGGAGGCTCCGTCAATGGTGGAAACAATGTAGTTCACCGAGTCCTCGATGGTGGTGGTGGCCTCCTTGAGGCCGAACATGGCGGCTCCGGCGTTGCCCATGTCGGTCTGGACAAAGCTTCGAATCTGTCAGCAGATGCAAGAGAGGCCGAAGAAGATGCGAGACTTACCCAGGGTCGACAGGGAACGAGGTCACGTTGGCATGCTCGAAGTGAATCTTGCGGAGAATGTAGTGGAGCACCGCCTTGGAGATTCCGTAGGCAGACATCTGGAAGGGACGGCTCTCCATGTTGCCAATCGAACCAATTGGGGAACCGAGAGCCACGAACTTCGGGTTCTTTGATTCATTGAGGAGAGGGAGTACGGCCTGGAAGAGGAACAAGGGGCCGTACGCGTTGACCTCGACGTGCTGCTTGATGACGCTGCCAGAGAGTGTCGCGATGGGAGAGAAGTCATCAGAAATGCCCGCATTGGCAATGACCACATCAATGTGAGTGATGCCTTTGCTGAGCAAGAGCTGCACAGCCTTCGCGGGGGCTTGCTCGTCACTGCTGTCGAGAGGGACGATGACGAGGCTGCTTCCCTGACCCTTGGGAAGGTCGTTCAGAGAATCAGCCGAAGCGACATTGCGAACGGCAGCAATGACGGTGGTGTTGTCGCGAGAGAGGTAGGTCGCAGTGAGGCCTTTTCCGATACCTGCGTTGTGCTGTCAGTCCCGATTCGACTTTTTCGAAATTTGTTAGCATTAGACAATACCTCTGTTGGCACCAGTGATCAGATAGACCGTGTTTGCTGACATTTTTGGCCGAGGAACGAAGTGTGGGCTTTAGTCGTGGCTTTCGAATTCTCAAAGTTCTTGAGGTTGATTGAAAAAACTTCACCAACTTGCAACAATCGCCCATCTCTTATAGTTCAAATCGAGACCTGAGACCTTCATCTCTTCGATTTGTAAAAGCTACAGAAAGCCGGACGAAACTGCACCCGGCCGCCATTCATCGCCCAGGACGTCATTTTCTTTGTCCCCAGACGAGGGGCCATCACGCCGAGCCGATTATTCAGCATCCAGCTGAAAGCAGCAAGGCAACCAGGGGGCCGGGGAATGCGCAGCCTCGTAAACACGGTTTCGTGCATCTGGGGTTGATCTGTCGTCAGAATTGCTTTCTTGTTCGGTGCCACGCGAGAGCCACACTCCGCTAGAGCGACCACGCCAAGACAGACGCCAATCGTCATGTGCCACCCGCGCTACACTATCAGGCAAGTGCTCGAATTTGCTGCAGGTAAGCGAAGCTGAAGAGCTTGTCTTGGAGTTGGACGTTTCTTTCCGGCTGATTTCTCCAGGGTATGAGATAGTTATGAACGATGTTTCTTGCCCTTCAGAATTTCAGAATCAGGCAGACTTGCAATCAAAATGATTACAGAAGTTGCAATACTTTCATACCCTTTCAATGCTCTCATCATTGGTGGAGCGGGAGGCGTGCTTTACTGTTTTGCGCTGGGATTATGGCGGCTTTATTTCAGTCCCATTGCGAAATTCCCTGGTCCCCGCCTGGCTGCTCTGACCTACCTTGTCGAGATTTACTACGAACTGTTATGCGGAGAAGGCGGGCAATTCCCTTTCCAGTATCGGAAGTGGCATCAGCAATATGGTCCGTTTCCGAATGCTCCCAGGCGGATTCTGCTCATGTCTGTCAGGTCCAATAATCCGCGTCTCTCCGGATGAACTGCACATCCAGGACTCAGCATACCATGAGACCATGTACTCGCCTAACAGGCCTGTCAACAAGCCAGAGAAGATCGCTCACCGTTTCGGGAACCCCCTTTCCGCGTTTGCAACCCCGGACCATGCCAAACACCGGCAGCGCCGTTCCGCGCTCAACCCCTTCTTCTCGAAAATGAAAGTCGCGCAGTTCTCACCTGAGATTCAGATGAGCATGCAAAAGATTTTGGCTCGCCTCGAACGGGAGTATGTGGGTACTGGCCGTGTTCTAAGCCTGAACAGGATGTGGGGTTGTTTGTCATCCGACACGATTGTGGCCTTTGCTTTTGAGAGACACTACGACTTCGTCGAAAGCCCAGAGTTCCACTCTGCTCTAAACCAAGCCATGATTGATCTTCTTGAACCGACCCACTGGCTGGTTCATGTGCCGTTTGTGGCGCGCATCTTCCAGTCTCTTCCTGACAGTCTCGTCAGGTATTTGCAACCGCAAATGGACTCTGTCATTCACTTCAATACTGTGAGCTGACCTTGCCTTCTTGTAGCTTCAAAAAAGAATATGCTCACATTTCCAGGAACTGACTTCACAAATCGCCGAGGTGCTATCCGCTGGAGGAAATGGCGAGAAGAATGCAGGCACCATCTTCAGCTCGCTGCTTCATTCCAGCCTCCCTGCGGAAGAGCTGACTCTGACGCGTCTCCAACATGAATCAATCAGCGTCATCGGAGCGGGAGTGGAGTCAACGATGCGCACGTTGGTAGTTGCGTGTTTCCACATCTTTGACAACCCGAGGATCAAGGAGAAGCTGGTGATGGAGCTCACAGAAGCAATCCCGGATGCCCGAGACGTTCCAAGCTGGGACTACCTGGCACAACTCCCGTACTTGTCGGCTTGCATCGAAGAGGCGCTGCGTCTCAGCTACGGGACGTCTCAGCGAATGCCGCGGGCCTTTCCGAACGGGGCACTGCACTATCGCAATTGGACCATTCCAGCTGGTACCATGGTCTCGATGGATACTTACGCTGTGTCTCATGACGAGGAGATATTTCCAGACTCCTTTTCTTTCATTCCCGAACGGTGGCTGGGCAACCCAAAGGCTCCTGATGGCAAGCAGCTGAGTCGATACATGGTGTCGTTTGGCAAGGGCACTCGCAGCTGCACAGGCATCCAGCTTGGGTATGCTGAACTGTACATCGGACTGGCAAATTTCTTCCGTTCATCGCTGATCTCTGATGCCAAGCTCTACAAGACTGACAAATCGGATGTTGAGCTAGCGAGAGATCGTTTTGCGCCTCGACCAAAACTGGGAAGCTTGGGAGTCAGAATTGTTTTTGAGTGAGAAGCGCGTCAGGAGGTTTTTGTATCAATGGGACAGTCTTTACTTGCCTGGGCTTGGTATCACTTGGATTCCTTTCTGAAACTGCGCTCGCTCTCAGTAGTTATGGCATTTTCCGCGGATGTTTGTCACGCTGCAATTGAATGGAGATAGGTCCAAGACGCGGATGAACTCAACAGGTGAATAGTTTGAATGATGAGCTGAACTGCAACACAGGTCCACAGGATAGAAGGAGAAAAGGAAAAATGTCGGTCCCGAACCAAATCTTGAACCCTCGCGGATCTCGTGCTAGGCCAGAATTTTGTGCAGAAACTTCACTTGTTGATTCATGAGCAGCGGGAACTCTTCCCCACTCAACACGTTGAGATGGCCTTTTCCAGGAGCGATGAGGGACTTTTTTGGTTCCGGAAAAGTGTCGAACAAAGCAAGCTGCTCCTCAGGAGGCGAAATTACGTCCTTCTCCGGGACAATCATCATTGTTGGCGTTGGCATCATGTGCTTCATGATTCCGTGGGGTTGCCAGACAACGAGCTTGTAGTAAGACTGCAAAGTGGTCTGATTCTCGTAGTTGGGAGCACCGCGAGCTTTGGCGTTGATCATGTAGTCGAGCTCCTCGGCGCTAGTCTGGAATCCAAGGCCGGCGGGGTTCTTTCCATCGGGCATCAGAACAGGGAGAAACAGTGGCGAGTTGCCGAGGGCTTGAGATTGTCTGTCTCGCATGCTTTGGAGGAGAACCTTGGGGAACTTCTCAGGCGTGTACTCGAAGTTGAGGAGGGGGCAAATGGCAATGCATAGGCGAGCCCTCTTGTCCAGACTGGCAGCACAAAGAGCGATGGTCGCAGAGAAGGACATGCCCCAGAATGCTACCCGGCGGGCATCGACAGATGGTTGAGCCATGAGGAACGAGAGAGCGTCTGAGTAGTCCGAGACTTGCTTGACAGGGTCGATGTCGTTGCGCGGAAGACCTTCGCTCTCGCCCAAAGACCGCGGGTCGTAGACTAATGCGTTGATGCCGTTGCGTTGAAAGTGCTCAGCAACATCCAGGACGAACATTTCCTTGACACAATTGAACTGTCCTGTTGTAAGTTTGAGAATCCCACAAGACTTGCAGAGTGCTCACGCCAGGAGTAATGACGATGCCGGGGCCTCTGTTGGCAGTCGGGAAGAAGAAACCTCGCAGAAGGAGGCCATCAATGGTCTTGAACTCGACTTGCCGCAAGTTTGACATGGTGAAAAGTGCTTATCAGATTTGACTGGAGATTTCGAGAGATGATTGTGATGACGATACGACCAGATTGCGCTCCTCCAGACAGTCTTTATATGGAATTCCTCCCGGGCACAGGAAATCGATTCCAGTCCTGTTGGGAATGCCATTGCGGGTATGTCTGCGGACAGTCGAGAGTCTAGATTCACGGAACCATCCCATGTTGTTGCAACTGGAGGCGGCTGGTCTCAGTTGTAGAGCCTCGGGAACTGCCGCCTGCAGTCAACATGCTGCGTGCCCTGCAGACTTTGGACTGTGCCAGAGTTTGAGGAGAGCCACCGAAGCTGTGGAGGGTCGAGATCCGCCTCCGGATGAGTAGACAAGCAACTTGAAAATCTAGACTTGTCAATTGAAGACCCTGGGATTCGCTTGTACTCTTCTAAGCCCTAGGCTTGTGTCTCCTCACCGTCCAAGACCGTTGAGAAATAGGGGCAGTCTTGCAGGTGGAAGAATCAGTCGGGTT